TCCTCACTCAGCTTCTCCTGTGGCCACCCCTCAACACCCAGTTCAGAACCTTTTGCAACCTCTTTTCCTTTGGTGTGCTTGGTGATGTCCATGGCAGTGACTGGGCTGGCTGGGTCAACATTGATTAGCAGTACCATGGCAGTGGGGGTGGGCTCTTCCATCAGCTCTGGTAACGGGCAACGCCTGAGTGCATCACCATGGCTGATGTCCTTCCCTGGGCAGTGGATCAGCTCATAGTCATACGCCATGAGGAAAATGGCCATTTGGTCATCCTTGGGGACATGTATGGCGGAGTTTGTTGATTCTCGGTGAAGAGCCCCCGCAGTGGCTTATGGTCTGTGATGAGTTTGAAATGTCTGCCATACACATACTCATGGAAACTCTTGATCTCTGTGATGTGTAGCGAAGGCTTCCTTGTCAATCTGGTTGTAGTTGCGTTCAGCCGAGGACAAGGTCTTGGAGTAATAGGCTATGGAGCCTCTAATCCATCTGGTAGGCGATAGCTGAGAACCACTCTGAATCCGAAGGGGGAGGCATCACAGCTGATCCAAACTGGCAAAGTATGGTTGAATTGGAGGATAGGAGCTCTTTTACTGATGTGAAGGCCCAGTCTTCCTTCTGTCCCTAGGTCCACGGCTCTGTCTTCCCCAGGCGCTTGGGCAATGGCTCAGCAATGGTGGCCTTCTGTTGTAAAAAAATACTATAAAAGTTCAATAGTCCTAAGAAGGCTTGGAGATCTGTCTTGTTGCTTGGGGTGGGGGTATTTCTAATGACCTTTATTTTGCTGTTGGTGGGATGGATGCCAGACCCATCTATGAGGTATCTCAGGAACTCTGAGATCATGCCGATTTTACATTTCTTTGGGTTCACTTTAAGTCCCTTCTACTTGAACCTCCATACACGTTCCATTAGCTGCTCTATGGAGTACCCTGAGATGAATACGTCGTCAAAGTATGGCACCACCCCTGGGATTCCTTGCAGTAGCCGCTCCATTAAACACTGAAACAGTCCCGGGGCTACGCTGACTCCAAACTAAAGTCTGGTGCATTTGAAAGCTCCCCTGTGGGTCACAATCACCTGTGCTTCTGCAGTGGCTTCATCCACAGGCAATCTTTGGTATGCCTGAGCCAGGTCCAGTTTGGTGAGTATTTTCCCGCTTCCTAGGGAATGCAACTGATGTTGCATAACTGGCACTGGTACGCACTTTGCTATAAGGCCTTATTCAGCATACACTTGTAATCTGCGCAGAGGTGGACAGAACCATCTGGCTTCACGGGGTGATTATTGGGGTTTCCCATACTGCGTGGTCGGTCGGCACGAGGATTCCTTGGGCAATTAGTTTGTCCAATTGCTCATCCACCTTGGGCTGTAGAGCATGGGGACCCTTTGGGGTTTGAGCCTGATGGGGGTTACATGGGGATCTAGGTTAAATGAAATGGGTTTCCCC